TTCAGGCTGCAATAAGGTTACGTTTCAATGGTATTATAAACTAACTTCTCTTGTAATGATTACATTCTAAATAGTTACCATAAATTTGGCAATTCTTCTCGGCCTGTGATGAATTTTTCATTATTAGCTAGTTGAAATATGCTATTCAGTTCAGTTAGGTGCCATGCGTGATACACATGCTTCGTCAGTAGACCAGTTGCCATCCAAGTCTATAGAACCCGGTCTGTCCTACTATTTATCCATAGCTGGGAAGAAGAGGATTTATACCTGTCCCAACATTATTAGCACGTAAGTGAATGTAAAGGATTCGACTGGAATTCGAACTCGGCTCTCCGATTCCTCAAAGGTTTGAATTCGATTTTCAATTTTATTTTTCTAATATTAAAGTTTAGCCAATACAAGGAGAAGAAGAGGATTTATACCTTTCCCAAGGATATTAGCACGTAAGAGAATGTAATGGATTTGTCAGGAATTTTACTGTTGTATTCAGTCAGTTATGTGTCATGTGTAATACATCTTTTCGATACAAGACTGACGAAGCAGATTTTTTTCCCGCAGTAGGTTGCCGTTTTTTTCTGCGGTAGACCAGTTGCTATTCAAGGCTATAGAACCCAGTCTGTCCTGCTATTTACCTATAGCTGGGGAGAAGAAGAGGATTCATACCTTTCTCAAGGGTATTAGCACATAAGTGAATGCAACGGATTCAACTGGAATTCGAACTCGGCTCTCCGATTCCTCAACCCGAACCGTTATCAAATACTCCATCGTGCCTCCTCTATTCAATGGGGAGAAGAGCTATGAAGTACAAAAAAAGAAACATTTTTTTCGTTTCGATTTTTTCAAAATTTGAAGTGGGGGTGTCTGATGCATTGCATTTTTTTTATAAGCAGCAAAATATGGTTTGGTTTGTTTGTTTGTTTTTGCTTAGCGGCATATCAACACCTTTATGGGTTATTTAATGCTAAAATCTAAATATTTTGTACGCAGTTTTATGATTGATGTTGCATTTAAATTTTTGAATATCCCAGGAGAGCAAAAAACCGGAAGAGAGTTCTATAGGCGAGAAGTGTGAGAGAAAAAAATCTATTAGAATATAACTTACGGTTACATCTGTTTCAACAGTAAAAAGGTGAGACCTAGTTGCCAATCTAGTACTACGCTTAAGTTCATACGGTCAAGGTAACAAAGAGGTAAGTGATATTTATTCTTGTATTACAAGAAATGTGACACATGGCCATCAAGGGATGGGGAAGGTTGGTCTCCATGTTTCTTATATTAAAACTTAGCTAGTTCCAATCACTGAACCAAACAAACAATCTCTTACATCAAAATAACATTCTTGTTTACTATACTTACTACAGTCACCACAATGTCACAATGTCTCTATGAATTTCTAATTTGTTCACATATGTAGAGTTTGTTACAAATAAATAATTCGCAATGCGTAAATGTAATGTTAAAATTTAATTTATGAAACTAAACAAACCAGTGTTTATTATAAAAGCTCCCTCCAACCCGAGTACTAGATCAGTTATCCAGACGAATTTGATGCATGATTCAAGAAATGAAAACAACCACTCCACCGAACACTCGGTCAGACACAACAACAAATATGAAATGCATACTCGAAATACGGAAAGCGTCCCGGGTCCACTAGAGACCTAACATTTCTCTCACCTAACGGGAAGAGTAAGTGAAATAAATTAAAGAAGAAGGGGACAAAAGTAAAGGGGGCCCGATTAAAAGTAAACTTCAAAACAAGAAACTAAAAGAAAAAAGACACATTAATCTACACTATTTCTACTAAGTGTGTGAGAGAGAGAGTGAGTGAGTGAGTGAAAAGAGAGAGAGAGTGAAAAGAGAGAGAGAGTGAAAAGAGAGAGAGTTTGAAAAAGAGAGAGAGAGAGTGAAAAGAGAGAGAGAGAGTGAAAAGAGAGAGAGAGAGTAAAAAGAGAGAGAGAGAGAGTAAAAAGAGAGAGAGAGAGAGTGAAAAGAGAGAGAGAGAGTGAAAAGAGAGAGAGAGTGAAAAGAGAGTGAGATCACCTACACAGGGATAATAGAATGAGAAAATTCTACCCCATTGCTTAAATAAATTTTCTAATCCGAAATTTCCTGAAGGTTACTCTGATCAACAGCTATCCAAGAAAAGCCGGAGGGCGCAGCGGCCGAAACGTTGTGCTAATAAGAAAAGATCAGGATATTAATTCGAATCTAAATAATGGAAACTCTTACCAGAAAAATGAGACAGAAAGAAATGCTAATCAAAAATTAATAATCGCTGTCAATGCTTCATCTAACGGCGTTCCTAGAAACGGAAGTTACGACTCGGACTAATCTAATGTCTTATTTAATAAAAGTGTTATAATATTTCAGAAAAATAAATTGTGAAAGTTGTATAAATCGGCTCGGCGAAGCATAAAGAAAATCTTCACGTTCAGTTTTTATTTTTAATAAATACATCCCAAGTAAGGCAATTAAGCCACTAAGACGCAAAGAGTTACTTAGAGTGAAAGGAACTGAGAAAAGGTTGCCGAGGGGAAGGAATAATAAGATTTAAGGAGACAGAAGATGTATTTAAATTTTTGAAGACTGTAGTTGACAGGAAATCAAGAAACCGGGAGAGTGTTACATAAGCGAGGGAAGAAGCCATTAGCATAGAACTTACGTTTAGATGTATCAATTTCGACAGTAAAATGTTGAGACCTAACTGCCAATCTAGTACTGCGCTTGAATTCGGGAAATCGAGGAACGAAAGAGGAAATCTTGTCAGAACAATTACCATAAAAAAAAAACACATCTCTTAGAAGCTACATTTTTTTTACCTTCTTTTAGGCACAGACACCGTGTAATAGAGCCCCCCCCCCACCATCACTAAATAGCTGACAACTTTCAGATTGGTAGAAACGCCACTGGCACCGAATTTAACTGGAAATGAATCAGTTTCTTAGCTCACAGAACGTAATTCTGAAGCACTCTTTGAAATTTTCGAAACGGGCCATATGAAAGATCATTACGAAGACAACGTTTATGGTATTTCGCCTTTTATCCCCCTCCACACACCATATTTTTAATGAGATAGCAAGACTGAAGATTTATAAATTAGATAGATATAGTCATCAAAGGAAAGATAATTATCTTGGATGGATTTTTTTGTCATCTGAATAATTAAACACTGGTAGCAACACCTACACACATCTAATCATATGCATATCGAAATTCGATCTTTCTAAGCTTATATATCTTAACATCATGGTTCAGAAGTCGGGATGTTCATTAGTATGTATATAAAGCTGGGTGCATCAGACTACTAATCCACAAATATACGCAGAAATGTATTCTCTATAATATAAAACAATGTTATTATATAATTATCGGTTGCACAGCCTGGTCTTTCCTAGATACTGATGAATAATGAGATGTTCTAACAGGAAGGATGACAGTAACTAAAAGGGAATTATTTACCATAGCAACGGAATATCTCGTTAGTAGTGAGATCAGGTGTTGTAGTGTGGGAAATTGAGAAGAAAAACTGAATTATGGAGTGAATGCGGAAGGAGAAAATGATTAAAATAAAAGAAACAGAGGAAAGCGAGAGAGGAAATTTATTAGGTTACGAGGTTGGGGCGTCAAATGTATTTTGGGAGAATGTTCAAAGGAATAAAGGGGTATGAGAATGAAAGTCTGGGTAGAATAATTAGTTACGTGGATCAAGTAGAAGAAAAGAGAGAAAGGACAAAGAGAGAAAGGACAAAGAGAGAAAGGACAAAGAGAGAAAGGACAAAGAGAGAAAGGACAAAGAGAGAAAGGACAAAGAGAGAAAGGACAAAGAGAGAAAGGAGAGAAAGGACAAAGAGAGAAAGGACAAAGAGAGAAAGGACAAGGAGAGAAAGGACAAAGAAGAAAGGACAAAGAGAGAAAGGAAAAAAGAGAGAAAGGACAAAAGAGAAAGGACAAAGAGAGAAAGGAACAAGAGAAAGGAAAAAGAAAGGAGAGAAAAGGACAAAGAAAGGAGAGAAAGGACAAAGAAAGGAGAGAAAGGACAAAGAAAGGAGAGAAAGGACAAAGAAAGGAGAGAAAGGACAAAGAAAGGAGAGAAAGGACAAAGAAAGGAGAGAAAGGACAAAAGGAGAGACTTATGCAAGGGGTATTGTGCTTATTTTGTCGAAAACCTGGCAACCACATTAGAATAAAAAAAAAAAAAAAAAAAAAAAAAAAAAGAAAAAAAGGGAGAAAGGTTACATATACATTTATTTCTTTTAATTCCTTCTCTTTCCATTCCCCCTTTTTTACCGCTTGAAAAGAGGAGCGGTTGACTTAAATAATTACGAGAACACGGGTAAGTGCTAAGATCATCTTTATTATTATTATTTCTCGTTAAAATCACAAGTGAATTTTTTTTTGTTTTTTTATTTTTTTATTTCTTTTCTTTCGTCTTAAAAAGAAAGGAAGTTTTTATTTATTTTTAATGAAAGAGAGAAAAAAAAAAAAAAAAAAAAAAAAAAAGATTATAATGCAGAAATCTTTCTTACAAGCGACAATAGAATAAATTGTATATATATCAGAATCCTAGATGATTACTCTTGCAGAAAATACAGGAACAACGGTGAATGCTGAATCGGTTGGGTATGGGACTAGCAGCTCCATCTCATAAAAGCCTACTTATTACTGAAACCACAGCTGCAACTGAATTGTGATCCCATAAACCTCGGTTGCGTTTAAGGGTCTAGAGTGAGTGAATAATTTTGATTGATAAGCCGAAAAAAAAAAAAAAAAAAAAAATCGATCAATCTTTTGCAGTTTATTTAAAGCCAGAAAATTTTTTTTTTAGATTTTCTGTAGATAATGATTTACTGACCAAAGTCCTACTAATCAACCCGTAGCTATGGGGGCAGAAGAGGTATTTGCATGCGAGTAAACATAACGAACTCGACTGAAATTTGAACTCGGCTCCCGATTTCCAATTCAGATACGTTATCCATTACGCCAACCGCACATCGAAGCTTACAGCATCTGGTATTCCCAAGCAGTCACCGATCTAGGTAGTGACCAGGCTCGACGTTGCTTAACGTCGGTGATCGTACGGGGACAGGTACCTCAACGTGATCTGACCATAAACAATACCACACACAATCTTACAGCACCTGGTATTCCCAAGCGGTTACCCATTAAGGTACTGACCAGGCTTGACGTTGCTTAACTTCGGTGATTATACGAGAAAAGTTGTTTCAACATATGTCCGTAAGACAGGCGAGTGAATTCAACAGGAAGAAAAGAAAGACAGTATTTGTAAGAAAAACAAATGTAATTCCAGAAAATTTTGAAAAGTCTTTTCTTTTCAAATAGTACGAATATTTAATGGTTTAAACATGTTCCTTCGACTGACGTAGAACTTCCCACGGTGGTTGTTGTTGTAGTGGAAGAAGAAAATAAACTGTGTATTAAGAAATGGAAGCATTTCTTTAGAAATAATGAAAAGAGTGCTGAACTGCTATGTAATATCAATCCTCCTATATGGCAGTGAATGCTGGACAATTTCCTTACAGATGAAGAGAAGACTTGAGGCAACAGAAACAATGAAAAGAATGCTGAACTGCTATGTAATATCAATCCTCCTATATGGCAGTGAATGCTGGACAATTTCCTTACAGATGAAGAGAAGACTTGAGGCAACAGAAACAATGAAAAGAGTGCTGAACTGCTATGTAATATCAATCCTCCTATATGAAAGTGAATGCTGGACAAGAAAGAAACAGATGAAGAGAAGAAAAAAGGCAAAAGAAACAATGAAAAGAGTGCTGAACTGCTATGTAATATCAAGACTCCTATATGACAGTGAATGCTGGACAAAGAAGACAGGAAGATGAAAAAGAAGACTTGAGGCAAAGAAACCAAGAAAAGAGTGCTGAACTGCTATGAAGACATCAATCCTCCTATATGGCAGTGAATGCTGGACAATTTAAAGAAAGATGAAAGAAGACTTGAAGAAACAGAAACAATGAAAAAAAACTGAACTGCTATGTAATATCAATCCTCCTATATGGCAGTGAATGCTGGACAATTTCCTCACAGATGAAGAGAAGACTTGAGGCAACAGAAACAATGAAAAGAGTGCTGAACAGCTATGTAATATCAATCCTCCTATATGACAGTTAATGCTGGACAATTTCCTCACAGATGAAGAGAAGACTTGAGGCAATAGAAACAATGAAAAGATTGCTGAACTGCTATGTAATATCAGTCCTCCAATATGGCAGTGAATGCAGGACAATTTCCTCAGTGATGAAGAGAAGACTTGACAGAAGAGAAACAATGAAAAAAAAGAGTGCTGAACTGCTATTAATCAATCCTCCTATATGGCAGTGAATGCTGGACAATTTCCTCACAGATGAAGAGAAGACTTGAGGCAATAGAAACAATGAAAAGAGTGCTGAACTGCTATGTAATATCAATCCTCCTATATGGCAGTGAATGCTGGACAATTTCCTCACAGATAAAGTGAAGACTTGAGGCAACAGAAACAATGAAAAGAGTGCTGAACTGCTATGTAATATCAGTCCTCCAATATGGCAGTGAATGCAGGACAATTTCCTCACTGATGAAGAGAAGACTTGAGGCAATAGAAACAATGAAAAGAGTGCTGAACTGCTATGTAATATCAATCCTCCAATATGACAGTGAATGCTGGACAATTTCCTCACAGATGAAGAGAAGACTTGGAGTAACGAAGACGTTCTCTGGAAGGATGCTGAGAATACCATGGACGGAAAAATGTGAGCAATGGGTAAAGGAAAATAGGAACAAAAATTAGACTTATGAAAGAAAGAGACAGTTATGAAATGGACAAAGTCCAACAATTATTTTAAGACATTTTGTTTATGTTTATACGTTCTTTTTATAGATACAAATCATACTTATTATAAAACCCAGGTTGTGAGTGAGTGTGTGTGTGTGTGTGTTCGTTTATATATTGGATCGGATTTCCTACATTTTTCAAAATTGAAAGAAAACTTCACGTTTTTTTTTAAAAATAAGTGTTTTTATTGTCTCGCACACTTTTTTTTCTTTATTTTTACATTCAGCATGCTTTAAAAATTCCATTTACAAGGCAATTATTTATAATAAAATTCTGAATTCTATTCAATCGGTAGACTGATAACGATTGAAAACAATGTTTTTATTTGAGTTTGACCAATACGTAAAAAAAAAAAAAAAATAATTAAGACATGCGTATCCATCAACCTTAAACAATAATCTTTGTCAATTTTATTTTTCAGTCTTTATGATGGTCGATACTTGATCTATCTCTTACTGTTACATCCACGGGCAACACCGGGCTCTACTGCTAGTATTTAATAAATGCGTTCTGTTTCTAATAAACAGCATTAACATTTGCCGGCCTGAATGTCCGAGAAATTTTCATAGAAAATATTCGTCCTCCGACAGGAATCGAATCTGTATACTATACGGAACAGTCATATAACCTGTCAATTTCATAATGTGTGGTGTCATTTGTTTACATTTGGATACGCATCGAGACTGGTTATCAACCAAGGCTGTAGGATCCAGTCCCAATCTAGTAATATACTTAAATTCAAAAATTGAGACACAAAAAGATCTTTTAACGTCATGTTTGAAACAACTGCCATGAAAATACTTGTAGAAAAGATAGACAGGAATCATGGCGCTGGGAAAGCGACTGAAGACAAGATGCCCGATCAGGATGCATTACATTTCAGACCTTACTTCGGAATGCTATTTAATATCATCTGCTAGTCTACTGTTAACGTGTACAGGGGTTGGACAAAATAATTGGAACAGTTGCAAAATCCACTCCTATATTTCAAAGACCTATTATATTAAGAAGTTTAAAACTAAAACTTCGTAATTGCAGCTTATATCTATTGTAAATACGTTTATTTATCTAATTTACTGTCTTTGTCTTATTTATTTTTAGAATTTAGTAACATTTAAGCTAAATGCATGACTTCTCAGAGTTCAAAAAACTCGGGAGCTCGCATGGCAGGAGCCTCGATCACTAAGGTTGATCAACTGTTTGGTTTTTCAAGAGCTACCATATCAAGAACACTGATGCAATTCGAGAAACAGGGCAAGACCTCTAGCAACCGTAGCAATTCTGGCCGGACTTGCAAACTTACTGACAGGGACTGACGTGTATTGAAACGCAATGTGGCAAAAAAAAAATCATCGGACAAATGCGGCCAAAGTGACTGCTTAGTTGAATAAGCATCTGAATAGTTCAGTTTCTACTAAAACTGTTCACCGTGAGCTCCATAAGGCTGCATATAATGGAAGAGCCGCTGTGAGGAAACCTCTTCTCTCCACTCGCAACATTCAAAAGAGGTTGAAGTGGTGCAGAGATCACAATGCCTGGTCTGCAGACCAATGGAAGCAAGTCATATTCTCAAAATTCAGGGTGAGTTTATGTGTGGAGGCAGCCCAAAGAAGCTTACAACCCTGACTGCCTTCTTCCAACAGTGAAGCATGGAGGTGGATCAGTGATAGTTTGGGCCGCCATATCATGGAAATGTCTCAGTCCAATAGTTGCCCTGCATGGTAGAATCAACAGCAAAGATTACCTGAACATTTTGGGAGATCATGTTCATCCAATGGCCAAGACTTTATTCCATGATGGTGACTGCATCTTCCAAGACGATAATGCTCCAATACATCCCGCTCGAGTGGTTAAGAATTGGTATGAAGAGCATGAAAGTGAGCTAGAACACATGGAGTGGCCTCCCCAATCTCAAGATATCAATATTATTGAACATTTGTGGTGCATTTTGGAGCAACAAGTTAGGAGCCGCTATCCTCCACCGTCGTGTCCAAAAAGAGCTGGAGAAGGTTTTAATGGAAGAATGACTGAAAATTCCTCTGGATGAAGTCAGGAAGCTGTATGATTCCATTCCTAGATGTATTAAAACTGTATGTGAGGCTAAAGGAGGACCAACTCCATATTAGATAAATTTTCTTTGAATTTAACAAGTGTTTCAATTATTTTGTACAACCCCTGTAGCCCATTACTACATGCCATAATGTCGGACAAATTAAATATTTTAAGTTTTTCCCCACAATATTATATTCAGTTTGAATTTTAAAATATTTCTGAACAACCAGTGAAATTAAAAACAAAACTATTTTAATTTATTGCTTAAACGTTATTTTTAATGGATACCCATATTTGAGTAGATAATGCTTTTATTTCTATATTAAACAGTATATTTATTTCCATCTGCCGGCTTGCATATTCGAGAAATCTTATCTACTCAAATATAGCTAGCCATTAAAAATAAAGTTTAAGCAATAAATTAAAATATCTCCGATTAATAAATTAAAAATCCATTCCTAAAAATTATCTGGAATATAAATGTATAGAAAATACCGTGGCCACAAAGTGAGGGATCAGTTTTTATATTGATTGTAATACAGAATTGATCCCCCATATCTTTATATCTTATCCACAGTGTAATTATTTTTCAAATTTTGATGATGTATGAATCCACCTCTTCTCCCCAGCTATGGCTTAATTAGTAAGATATGTATGACTAAATCATTATCTCAAAAAATTCTTACAATCTAAAAATATTGTCTGGCTTTAAATAACCTGCAAAGTGTTGATAAGACATAAATCAATCAATCAATGAAATACTGATTAGCTATACAGACTGTCTTTTTATTTCCATTCTTTGGAGTAAATAAAAACGGAGCATCTACTCAAATATGGCTAAGTATAAAAAATAACGTTTAAGCAATAAATTAAAATATGTTGGATTAATAAATTAAAAAGCCCATCCTTAAAATTGCTTTGTTTATGTCAGGACCCGAAACTGAGCAGATATGTCTATTTCGAGCATCGGGAAGGGTGTGCTCAAAAGCACTATTCCGGCTTTGTTTGACCAGGACGTTCGTAGCTGAAAATAATATTTTTATTGTCAATTCTTAACAAAATAAATAAATAAATAAAACTAAAAAACAACCCCCCCCCAAAAAAAACGTATAAATTCATTTTCATCATATATCGAGGTTTTATTACAATTTTAATAATCACTTTTTAAAACAATAAACATTAACGAGGAGTGAAGGTAATTAAAATAATAGCGGTGTTAAAGAAAAAACCGTCCCTTTGACACTGGTTATTTATTTTTCGAGCACAACCACAATTTTGTATTATTTTCCTCAAAAATCTTTATGTGCCGTGTCCTTTCAGGACG